CCGCGGGCCCTGGGCGGGGCGCCGCGCCGCTCCCCTCGGGCCCCGAGCGCGGCAACGGGCGGGGGCGGCTCCTCCAATCAGGCCGCGACCCGATTTTGGGAGGCGGTTGCCCGGTGAGAGTGTTAGGCATGCGCGCCGCGGTGACGTCATGTCGCGGCGAGGCCTGTGGCGCCGCAGGGTGAACGAAGAGTTAACGCGCCGCGTGGTGGGGGACGCTGCACCCCGTATTTGACGACGCTGCTCGGCGTCACTGCCAGGGTTACGAGGGCAGCAGCCGTCACGGGCGAGGAAAGCAACGAGCTTCCCCGGCCGGCTCGCAGGAGGGAGAGAGAGTGCCTGCATGGCGAAATGGCTGTGCGTTTTGTAGTTCCGTTCGGGGTTGTGTTTTTTTTGGCCTCTGAATACAAAGGGGCTGATGAGGTCACCGACACTTGAAAATGAGCATGTGCGAATGAGGGGCACCTAAAAACGAACAAACGAACCAGTTACAACTCGGTCTCTTGGCGATCAGGGTGCCAGTTGGTCCCTGACTGCAGATTTGTTCAGAGCTTGAAAAATGGCCCCTCTTAGATTAGCCCACAGTTCTGCTGGGTGAAGACTGTGACTCTGAAGCGTCACTAAGAAATCATTAAAGTACAAACTACAGCTTTAGCTAAGCAGAGATCCAGAGGCAGAATAACAGTTCCTGACTGATAAAATCAGAGAAGAAATCAAAACTTCTGCTGGCATATGTTTACCTCCATTTTCACAATTTTTTATCATAGAAAGATAATTTCTATAATTACATCATAATGTAATGATAATAATGTAATGATAATAAGGTACAAACTTTAATGTTCCTTATAAACCACTGTAATATTTGTCACATTTTCCCTTTCTATCCATCAGCCTATTGATCACTACAGGGATGTGAAGTATTATTCCTTTGCAGGACTTTAAAATACCTTTTTGGTAAGGTTTTGAAATACTTGTTTACAGATGTTTTTATTTACTTACGAAGGTCATAGGGCCAAATTGGCTGAAAATTAATCGCTGTGTTTTGTGGGATTAGTTTTGTGGTGTTTAATTCCCTGAACCGGCTCTGTACGGCATCAGATGAGTCCCAGTGTTGGCACGAAGGAAACATCAGAGGAGCGTGCGGCTGGGTGCGTGAGAAGCAAGGGTTCTGTTTAGCTGTAATGTCAGCCTGCACCCTCAATTACTGACATTAGTAAATAAAAAAATAATAATCTTGGGCAAACTGCCAAGCTAACTGACTTCCTGTAAACCAAGCTTGCTTGTTTATATCCATCCTCCAGTACAGCTGGAGTATCTTAATCTCCAGATTAAACATCAGTTGGTTATGTCACTTCTGTGCTTACCAATTAAGATGACAGCGATCTTAGAAAAATCTTACCAAAGACTTTTCCTCACCCACTAAGCTCATGCTGGTCCAATATATCAAAACACCACAAGGCGGCTGACCTGAACAATGAAAACATTCTACTTTCTGTGTCCACCGTTTTCCTGTACCTTATACCAAACAGCATTTACAAACAAGTTTGAGGGTCATTCTCCTCATACCTTTTTAAATACAAAACAAATATTCATGCAACCATTATGCTTGTCAGAATGGTAGCAGGATACCATTTCTTACAAATATTTTATTGTATAAAGATAATTATGTAGAATATAAAAACTTTCACATTTCTTGTAAACAACAGTAATATTTGTTATTACACTAAGATTTTCCCTTTCTCTCTACCAGCTTATTGATCACAACAAGGACATGAAGTATCGTTCCTTTACAGGACTTTAAAATAGCTTTTCTGGTAATGTTTTGAAATCTGCTTTTATGCAGATGTTTGTATTTAATTGTTTCCATTTCTTCATCTTATGTTTGTGGTCATTAAAGAATTCTGTGTGGAAATAAAACACACCTTGTTGACTGAATCTGTTCTGACCGGCTTCTCTTCAGGATTTATTTTGGTTGTGGGCATGCGCTCAGAGGTTTACACAGATCATGAAGTAAATATAGGCCAGTATTTCTGAGTGTGATGGTGAACAGACATCCACTGAAGAAAAGAAATGAGAACAAGCAAAGAATGAGAAAGTAAAATGCATCTATTACTATAGTAGTATGTTGAAAAACTTGCAAGGTTACGATTTACGTGCTCTTGTTTATGAATATTTCATCTGACAAAGTACTTCTGTGACATAAACAGCTAAACCAGCGTCTTTAAACCAGCATGCATCCAGGCTGCTATTGAAAGGGAGGCACCTGCTTTTCAGGCCCAAGCACTTGTTCCTCGTGCTAGCGCTGTTATTCAAGTGGCTGTGCCGTGAACTGGATGAGTGAACTGAGCTGGCTCCAAAAAAAAATCTTTTTTTAAATGAACTAGCATGCTGTGGGCAGCACAGGGAGGGGATGGGATGGAGTTAGATTGGATTAAACATAGCATGAAGCCAAACCTAACTCGGCCAACTGGGAAAAAGGTTTTTTTCAGCAATAGCATGAAGCCAAACCTAACTCGGCCAACTGGGAAAAAGATTTTTGTCAGCAGGATGAGTTCCCTGATACGGTTTACAGCTCAGGTACGTGAGTGATTGAGTTGGCAGAAGGGAGGCAGCAAGTGTGAGCAGCTGGGAACAAGAATGATGGGACTAACCATGTTAGTGACACGCCAGATTTATGTCAGATTAAAATGACTACGCAGCCGTTCCTTAAGAAGAACACGCGTAAAGAAACCAGGTCAGAACAGCACACAGTGTACAAAAGCTGCTTGAAAAGCAGCTACGCAACCAGAAAACATCCGTCTTTCTGAGAATCTCATGCACGCGGTTCCCTGGCTGTGGAATTTACTACATATTCACATTCGCTTGGCAGGAGTATGAACTGGAAGATAAAAGGATTATGTTTAAATATATTACATTGCAAAGCTGGCGTTCAGAAGCTGGGTGGAATGTGACAGCAGGACATGGTATCAAAGCCCTGCCAGCAGGCTGACTGAAACGTGAGCTTGGAAGATGTATGGATTTTCGCTCACTTGCGTTCAAGGAGCTGGTTGTTATCCTGAACCCTAGTATTGAAAATTTAAAGTTTAACACTGTAAACTGTTTCCTCACTTGTATTTTAGCAGAAATATTTCCGTGACACCCCGTGCTTCCACTAAATTGCCAAGTCTCTTAGCATAAATCATCCCTTGATGTAATGTTCCAGCTTGATAGAAATTAATACCAGAAATTAGGAAATGTATAATACATTGTTTTTATGTTGAAACATAAATAAGTTTGATCACATGTACATAATAAAATCCTGTAAATTTTTTTCCAAGGAAATCAGTAATGCTCTGTTGCAATTTTAGTTGGATGGAAAGTGCATTTCTACCATTATGTATTACTGTGCAGAGAGCTGAGCCTCACCTAATGAAGCAGTGCCAGAACTCCTTTGATTTAGGAGCTGAAGTGAGTCTCCTGGAGACTGACTTGTCCCCGCTGCTGCAGAGTGTTGGGGTGAGAGTGGCAGAGCACTAGAGGAGGTTGCTCGGAGAGGCTATGGAGCCTCCATCCTTGCGGAGACTGAAAATCCGACGGGACACAGGCCCGAGTGAGCTGCTGGAAGCTGGCCCTGCTTTGAGCAAGGGGTGGCACGAGGGGGAAGAGGAGGCAGGTGGCCTTCAGAGACTCCTTCCAACCTAAACTGTCATATCGTTCTGTTCTGGCTGCCGGTAAGATTTCTGCTTACCAACTCATGTACCCAGGATTTGCAAAAATAGAGAAATTTGTTAAAAGGTCTGCACCTTTTGATTTAAATAATGGTTTTACTTTTTAATTTCATGGAAGCAAGTAGCTCCTAACTCTGATATGAGCAGCTACACTAATTTGAAGGCCATTCATCTCCTTAAAGCCAAGAAAGGATGACAAAGCTGGTAAGATCACAGAGGCCTGGATCTGTTAAGTCCTGTGCGATATCCTGGGACATACAGAAATACAGACATACAGTGCTACAGAAATATGGACATGTGTGGATGATTTTTATTTCTTGTGGAGATACCAGGTATAGTTGAAGTTGCTTAGTAGTTTCTAATGCCTTGCGTTTAGTTCTTGCAATTTTACTAAACTAAACCATAAATATTAATCCCATAATTTTCTAGCATGTCATCTTTGTGCATTAACTTCTGGGTGTAATTTCAGCAAAGCCAATTCAGTTATTTCTAGGAGATACACTGGGGAAATATAATTTGGGTTCGGGAACAAAAAAGCCTGTCAGGAGGAAAACGATGCTCAGTCGTCAAAGGATGAAAATCTATTCAAGTTAGTGTCAGTAAATCCCCGTGCCATTTGTGCACAGAGCTTTTTAAAGGCTTGCTGTTACTACCTGAGTATTTCACCTGACATGGCATATTCCAGTCCCTTCAGCTTAAATTTACCCACTTAGTTTTCCTTGAGATGCTGTCAGTTAGCACTGGGCAGTAGTTTTGCCTCACAGCTGAGAAATCAGGACTATCTGCCCTTGTCACGTTCAGTATCAGCAAGTGAGGTAAGTCACCAGAAGTGAGTGTTCAGTCAAAAACCGCTCACATAGTCAATAAAGCCGAGGCATGATCTAATGAGCTGTCATCCGCTGCCTCTGAGATGCGGTGATGGCAAGAGAACATCTAGTCTCCGTGTTTCTGGGTGAAAATCCTGGCCTTTTTGCCACAGTAGGACGCTGCACGCTCACTACTAAGACAGGAGCTCTTGTCCCCTTTCTCTGCTGGGCTGTTTTATTGATATTCAGCTTTAGTTTCCTCAGGTGCCAGAGTCTTTTCCACGAGGATGGCCAGCCTGATTTATGCAGCTGTGGTTCTGCACTGACAATGTAAATATAGCAAGAGCACCACTCCAGCTATGCCACTTTTCACATTAGGAAAGATGGTAATTAGGAGAGGTTGATAATCTACAGCTCCCTCCTTCTATGGGGTAATATAATTCCATGCTGATATTTTTCCTTTTTTTTTTTTCTCCTCAAGCTTGCTATCTTAATAACGTATGAAATTGCACTAACGATAGATACACATTCTACTAGTAAGGGTACAAAACTTTACACTTGAAAGTGCCAATGCAAATTTTACCTACACATTTAATTTGCCTGTTTCGTTTTTTTATATGTCAGTCCAAACGTAAAGAGTAGCTGCTTTAGACAAGGAGAGAAACTGAATGCAATTTTTTTGGCTTGCCTTTTCCATTTATATTCAATCACTAAATTGTCCTGATTCAACAGGAATAAATGCTGCTGTGCTTATAAGCAGAATCTTGCAGGGAGCCGGTAGCTATATCTTCTACCAGGATATTGTGCAATAAGTGCTTTGGAGATTTTAGAT